TCCTTCCGCCACTTCCTTCCGCCACTTCCTTCCTTCCGCCACTTCCTTCCTTCCGCCACTTCCTTCCTTCCGCCACTTCCTTCCGCCACTTCCTTCCTTCCTTCCTTCCGCCACTTCCTTCCCTCCTTCCTTCCCTCCTTTCTCTTGTAGCTGCTTGGGAAGGCGGGCCTTGCTTAGAGGGTCTGTAGTTGGCTAATTAAGGAGGTGGGCCTTGTTGGGATGGTCTGTGGTTGGCTGATTGGGATGGGACTGGGAGCGAGGAAGAAGTCAGCAAGGAGAGAAGGAGGAATGAAGAGATGTCAACAGGTATACCCCCAGATAGCCCTCAGAAGGAAACTAACCCGGTGGAGATATGATCCCAACACCAAACGTATGCAATATTGTGTGATAGAGTGGACTGGGATGGAGACCGAGCGTGTGTACTGGCCGTGGTGTGAGTCAAATGAAGAGTGAATGTGTCAAGTTTTAACCTTCCATATAAAAACAGAAAATCTCGGTACACATCAGAGAAAAGAGACTTCTCACTGAACAGCCCTTCTAGCTCTGACCTCTCAGTCCTGAATCTCAAAGGAAAGTTACTCTGCACTCCACTCCATCCAAACAGAAAGTCCTGGATTCAAGAAAAACACTGGTGTAGGATATGCTGTGTTTTCCTGCTTTCTCTTGCCACTTCCTACCTTTTTCTTTTTCTCTGTGTTACACTAATTTTAGATCAAGTGTAACACAGAAGAGTCATTCTCTACTCAAATTCATTTTTCCATGCATATACAGTGATTTCAAAATGCCTTTCCCTCTTTCAATCTGAGATGAAACCTTAATGAACTCTGTTTCAAAGTCACTGTCACCCCTACAGAGAGACCTAGAGCTTTCCTTACCTGATCCCCAAGAAACTGTGAGCTACCATCCACAGAGATAGGGACCACAGGTACCCCCACCTCAATTAAGGGGCAAGAGGTGCCCCTTGACAAAACACAACCATTTATCTAGTTACCTACACTGCCCTTCCTCTCCTAATGTAAGGGGTGAGGAATGCCATGCATGCTATGCACTAGCAGTGAATCCTCCCCTTGTGCTAGTCAAGCCCCTAGAGAAAACAGGACAACAAAAGGTTGCTCAGTTTTGTGCCCTCCTGCTCTTGCAGGGTAAGAGGCAAGAATCCACTGCAGTCTCTTTGACTTTTCCTTTAAGACAGCATCCCAAAGGCACAGAGGGTGAAATATTACCGAGAAGAGGGTAGCAGGCAGTAGATGTGCACCTACTCTCTTTCCAGAAGGGCTCTGGGGAGTGCTGTGCACGTATGTGCCCGTGTGTGTGACTCTGCCCGCGTGTGCCAAGGTGCGTGAGTCTGCACATGCTGTGCCAGTGTGCACTGCTCTGTGTGCACGCACTGGTGCTGGGGTGTACGTGTGTGTCAGTGTGTGAAGCTGCATGCACATGTGTTTTCTGGTGTGCCCAGATGTAAGTGTACACGCCCCACTTTGCATAGATACAAATGTGCTAGTGTGCACAGCACTGTACACATCGATAACTCTAGTTCAACTCCTCCCAAAGAGCGCTGTTTCTTTTTCCTCTGCTGGGACCGGCTGCAGATTCTCTGTGGGATTACATGTAAGATGTGTGTGTCAATGTATATAACAATACACGTATTAGTATGTACAACTCTGTGTGTGTGTGTGCACTCACTCTCTGTGTGTACCTAGGTGCACATGCAAGCTGGGTACACCCAGAGATGTGGCTCCAGGGGCACAGCTCTAGATGCTGAGCTCTGTTCGTCCAGCTGCTGTCCCACCTGGGAAGAGCAGATGTGTGTCTGTGGGTGTGTCTGTGGGTGTCACTGCTAGGCTCTGCTAGCTAAAGTGGCCCCTGGCTCTCTATATGCACTCTGGTGTCATAGAGGAAAAAAATTGCCTCTGTGTTTCCCTTTTGTAGCTGCTGAGGCAAAGAGAGGCTGCCCGCTCTGGGAAGAAGGGGAGGCATCCTAAGGACATCCAGTACCTTTGTCCCTTTTCTCTGGGAGAACTGTCCTTCCCAAGATCCCAGGAGCAAGGCAGCCTAGTGCAGCTAAGGACTCAACTGAGTACAGGAAAATCAGGTGGTTGTAGCCAAAAATGCTTTTGCTAAACCGAGAAAGTGTTGAGGGATGCTGATGGCAAATTCTGATGTAGTGTTGCCTTCCTCTAAGTCACTGTCCCTGTGCTGTTGGATGGGTGGTTGCTGAGGATGTTCTTCCTCACTAGACCTGCCCTGTCTTGACCAAGGGAGATCCCTTTTGCCTCTTTCAGTAGTTGCCAGTCCTGTTTGTTACTTTTCTTATAAACTCACCCTCTTCCATCCCACATGCAGACCGCAGTGTAAATGGTGCAGTCTCCCCCATCAGTGACAGCAAAAAAAAACAGATCAGTGACAGCTGCTTCTTGTGCCTTTCTCTTGCCAGCATAAAGCCACAGCATTTCCTCTTGTCCTAAGACACACCCATGCCACTAGCACATCTCCACAACCTAGAGTGGTGAAACAGAGAAATTAAGAACTGGGAACCAAGCATCAAGAAATGCTTTGACTAAAAGGCAGGGGCCTGACAAAACTGTGTGAAATGCTTACTGTTCCCACAAGTACAAGAAGAGAGCAAGGCTCCAAGGTAAGGTAAAGAGCTAGAATGCACAAACAGGATGCAAAGACACAGGCACCACAGGATAAGGGGGTTCTTTGGACCCCTAAGCAGGAAAAGTGGCATCAAAGCCCAGAAGATGGTGAAAGGACTAAAAAGGAGCATGTGCAAGAAGAAAAGGTGAAAAGTTCAACTGAGAGGAAGATCACTTACTTCAGCCCCAAAGACCCCCCCAGAGTGACCAACAAGGGGCAATGAGCACTCGGAAAGAGACATGGAGCTAATTTTAATATGAGGTGCGGACAGGTGGGGTTAGGAAATGCACATGTATTAGGCATATTGTGGAGTCCTAGTTTGTAGAGAATAAAAAGAGAGGGGCAAGTCTCCGAGGGTCTGCATATTTTTGGAGGAGCTATTCCCCATGCACCTCAGCGCTGAATAAATACATACAGGCTCTTATAACTTACTCTATGAGTTATAGAGTTTTCTTCTTGCATATCATTTTGGCAAGCCAGGCAGGAGGATCTCTGGCTGTGGGAGCGGCCGAGGAGCGGATTACAAGTAAACATTAAATTTTAAAATGGGGAGGTTATTCTAGAGGTAAATGATGAACAATACATAGACACATTAAGTTTAATGTTAACAGCTGTTCAAACAGAGGGAGAAATTAGTGAAGAATACAGTGAAGAAATAGTGAAGAAATAATAAATCAAGTATTTCCTGGAGTGTGGGCCTCTAATGTACCAAGGAGAGTGAAAAATTCACTTCCTATATTAATCAAACTTAAGAGAGGAAAACAAACAGAATTAAACAGTACCCCTTGAAAAAGAAAGATAGGGAAGGAATTAGTCCCACAGTTGAAAATTTTTTGCAGTTAGGGTTGTTAAAAGAGTGCCTGTCTGAGTTCAACATTCCCATTTTGTTGGAGTCAGAGATACAGAGTGTGTGCCCTTGTTTCTAATACTTAGTTCTAAGATCCAGAAAAACACTGAATTTCACATAGCATGAAATTCATGAGCATATTTTCATGGTGATACATGAGAACAAATGTTAAAGTTAGATAGAAAAAGTGTAAGTGTGTAAATTATAAAGTTTTTTAAATCACTGGGTGAAAAAGTAGTTTAGAAAACAGGAGACAATATGGAGGATTTAGGGTGTTGTCTCTTGTCCTTCTTCTTTCTTCTTCATGTTCTTCTCCTAGGGGTTTTTGGGTGGTAGTAAGTAATTGGATAGAAAATACCATAGTGCATCACAGAGGTGATGGGTCATAGGGTCACTAAGAAAAATAATTTAGTTGGCATCTGTTAATTGTGTAAATGGACATATAAAATACCTTGAAGAGGGTCTTTGTTAGCCATTTTACCCCTTTCTATCATAGTGCACATAGCTCCTTGTACCTTGATTCTAAGAAAATGTATCATGGTTAAAATTTAAGTGTTATAAAAGAAACTTCAGATTAAATTAACTGCTGAATGGTTTAATTAGTCAATTACCTAAGACATCTCATCATTTGTTTTATACAAATGCCTTTTAAAAGTTTGCAGTGTTTAAAGTATCTTATAGCTATTTTTAAAAAAAAAAAAACCCTTGCTTTGAAAATGAGTTAAGAGGCATCTTTCCAGTTTAAAGCCTAGGCCCTGGCCAAGCCTTGACTTTGCCTGGATAGAGAATTTACCAATAAACCCAGAAGTTTTCTGCATCAAAACAATATTCAGGTCAGTTTGACTTGGCAATTAGTGAATTAATATAACAGCTGGATTTTTACAGTGAGCTTTGAAAATTGTTCAAAATTTCAACAATTTTTGTTGAAAAAACAACAGCTTCACCCCAGCAGATGGTTTCATTGGATACCATACAAAGCCAAGAGTCTTTTGACCACAGCCACCAAAAGCCAGAGCTCTATACCCCGGCTCACTCTCCACAACTCCCTGACAGGAGGTATAGCCAGGTGGGAGTCTGGCTCTGCTCCCAGGGGACAAACAACAGGACAGGAGGGAAGGGCCTCTGGTTGTGCCATGGAAGGTTTAGGTTAGATATTTGGGAAAATTTCCCTAAAAGTGTTGTACAAGCCATGGCACAGGCTGTCCAGAAGTCCCTGGACCCTGTTGGAGTCCCCATTCCTGGAGGGATTTAAAAGCTGTGTAGACTTGGCACTTGGGGATATGGTTTGGTGGTGGCCTTGGCAGTGCTGGGAGAAAGGTTGGGCTCAAAGGGCTTTTTCAATTTTGCTGATTCTGTGATTGTGCTCTCTTGGATGTTTGTGCCTATGATCTCTCTGCTGGGCTCTTGTCACAGCCCCTGCAGCACCATTCAGACAAGCCAGAAGATCAAGGGCTGAGCTGCAGCTCTGCATCTCCTGGAGTGAGTGGGGCAATGTGCCCTGTGACTCTGGGAACCCCCCACCCCACATGGTCCCTGGGCTATGGCAGGTGGGGTTCCCCTGGCTCAGGTGAGCACCCTGCTATGCCAGGGTGCGCTGCCTGTGGGGCCACAGTAGGTCCTTATTTAACTGTGGGGTTTCATGCAGGTTGATGCTGGCTGCAGGCTCCTGCCTGCAGGATTGGCCACTCCAGATGTGCTGCCTGATTTCAGCCACACTTGCTGCCTTTGTGGCTGAGGAGGCATCAGCTGGGAAAAAGCAAAATAATTGGGCAAAGAGGTGCCTGGCAGAGCTGAGGCTGTTCTGGGTTACACTGGGATGCACAGGGAGCCCTCCTGGCAGGTGAGGGAAGGGTGAGACTCGCCTCATCTCTTGGGGTTAATGGTGCTGGTGTGGGGAAGACAGGGCTGATTTTCCTCTTGCCTTTTGCTCAGGAGGAAGAGACAAAGCGGCTGCTGGAGCCCGCAGCCAGCCCACCCAACAAGGTGCTGAATGGGGCGGAGCAGAGCTACCACAACCTCCCGTCAGCACGCACTGATGAGCAGGCCATGCTGTCCTCCATCCTCGCCAAAACAGCCATGTAAGCCTCAGGCTGTGCCCGTGGGGCAGGCAGCACACCTTGGGGACCAGCGGTGACCCTGGATGTGGCACACAGCTGGGGGGCCTGGCTGTGGGCCCCGCTGATCAGCCGTATGTGCTGAGGAGCCGTATGAGCAGGAGCTGTGGCAGAGCCCGCCATGGCCCTCTGCCCTCAGACAGCCCCCTGCCTCAGCTTTTAGCCCCATGGGGACATAGAAACAAGACCCCAGATGTGAGGTAATCCCTTGTCTGGGCTGGAAATAGAGGCAGGGTTTGGATAAGAAAAGGAGTCCATGGGGATGTGGAGAGGGTGGCTGGGCAGGCAGCAGCACTGTATCCCCTTTAGAGGAGGCTTTTCCTTAAATACAGAGGGGTAAAGTGAGGAGAGGGCTGTGTCCAGCCTGGCTGGGAGGGCTTTGGGATGCTCGTAGGCCCCTCTGCTGCCCTGCCTGACATTGGGGAGCTAGTGGCCACTGGTGTGTGTCCAACATGCAGGGCCACAGCAGCCCTGAGTGCTACTTTCCTGTGGGGTGCATGCAATGGGGCTGCAGGACTGCCCTGGGCAAGTGCCCAGGTCCTCTGTGATCCCAGGGCCCGGTACCAGGGCTCTCAGGACATCTGCCAAGAACACTGTCCTCCCAGTGGTTCCTTTTTTCTCCAGGTGGCTGCATGCCAAGCTCCCCAGAGCCCAGACCGGCCCCCAGCTTCCTGCAGCCTCTGCCTGCCTCTGCCCCAGGACAGCTGTGGGCAAACAGTCCCTGGCATTTCCTTCCTGGCAAACAGCCAGCCACTCCAGCCTGGCACACTTGTGTCCAGCTGGCAGCATTCATTGAGCAAGTTTGGCCTTGAGATGTTTGTTTTGGGGTGCTGGCAGGTGCTGGATTTTGTCTGCCCCAGTCAGAGGATGCTCTGAGATGGGGAGGGAACTCAGGGGGAGCAATGAGCCTCCAGTGGGAGCCACTGTCTTGTCTCTGCAGGAACATCATCAACGTCTGCCAGCAGCAGATTCCCAGGGCATGGAGCAGCATGAGTACATGGACAGAGCCAGGCAGTACAGGTGAGACCTACACTTCTCCCCTGGGGTGCCTACAGTCCCTTCACACCTGTGTGTGTCCCTGGGCAGGTCCCAGGGGTTTGGGCCTGGGGGACTGAACTCGGCATGTAGAAGGGCTGCGGCATCTCAGAGAGCAGGGTGCAGCCTGCTCAGGGAAGGCCCATGGCAGTGCAGGCAGCAGAGCCCAGGATGAAGGGCTCCTGTGTTCACCCAGCCCTTGGAAAGATGGTGGGGGGCTGGATGTGACTGCTTCTGCTTGAAAGGTGCTTCTGTGGGAGAGCTGGAAGCTCCCTCATCCTCCTACTGCAGGGAGTGAAGAGGGCCAGATGCTGGGAGTGCAGTACCATTGCTCTCCCTTTCTCGTCTGGGGGTGCAGCACCCATCTTCTGGGTGTCCCCGTGTCTTGGCACGGTGCTGATGTTCTCTGCTCTCCCCTCACAGCACATGCCTGGCCATGCTCAGCAACAACCTGATTCACTGGAAGAAGCTCCCACTGCTGCCATCTCTGACTAACCAACCACACCAAGTGCTCGCCAGCGATCCTGTCCCCTTTGCAGACATGCAGCAGGTGAGCAGGGCTGGAGTGAGCTCCAGAAACACATCCTCATCCTGGAGGAGCAGTGCTGCCCTCCTGGCTTGCCTAGAGACCTGACACAACTTGCTGGAGGTGGGGGCAAAGCCTAGGACAGGCTTAGGGACTCATTAGGGCTGGAGGCTAACCACCTGTAACAGTTTCTTTGGGATAACCGTGAGTTTCAGTAGCCACCGGTGACACAGCCATGTCCTTGTGCCTGCAGGTGTCCCAGATAGCTGCCTACGCCTCCAGTGCACTCTCACAGATCCATGTCGATACCAAAGAAGAACTGGTTTTATGTATGTACGTTTGGCATCCCCTGAGCCTGCCCCCCCACCCACCACTGCTTCAACCCTTTGGGTTGGTTTTGGGTTTTTCCCCATTTTTTTTTCTCTTTATATCCCTTCCTTCCCCATGCTGCTGCCACAGAACTTGGACAGATACCCTGTTTCCTACTAAATGCCAGGGCACCCATCACTGGCATGTCGAGCCCACCTGCATTGCTTGAGGCTTTCTCCTCCTCGTGAGTGTGTGGTGGGTGGATGGGTGTGCATGGGGAGGAGGCTCTGTCATCTGGACGCTGCCTTGCACAGAGACAAGCACAAAGGGAACAGCTGGTGCAAGGAAGTCCTTGTGGTGCTGGGCCTGCACATCCAACACCACACCAGGGTGGCTGGATGGCAGGTGGGCTGGAGCCAGGCAGATGTGATGCTCTGTGTGGGGCCTGGTGGCTCCAACACCATCCCTTCTTCTTTTTACACGTTTAGACCTTTTTTTTGGTTGTTTGTTTTTGTTTGGTGTGTTTGGTTTTTTGGGGTTTTTTTTTAATTACTTTTATTGTTTGCCACAGTATATAAAGCCACATTCATGCAGTGCCTGTCTCCACTGTTCTCTGTTGGACACAGCATGGATGTGATGGGGGAGCCATGCCCTGGTGGGGGTGTATGCACATCTGTCTGTCCCTTGTCATCTCCTTGATCATGTCCCACAAGGGGACAGGGAATATATGACAACCTATCTTTAAGGGGAAGGAAGCACCGAAGATTCATAAATGTTTATGGTCAAAAGGCATGTCAAAAGTCAGAGGGTTTGCAAATAATCAGGAAGTTTTATTAGTAAATTACACACTTGACATGGAAATTGCAGGGTACCTTTTTATGGATAGGTTTCCCCATCATGAAGAGGAATTTCTCATTTTCCATACAAATTATCATGTACAGTCTGCTCTTTCAGGTCTTCCTGGAAATGGGTCAGAAGGCTTGTTGGGGGTTAGGTGTCTTTCATTTAGTTGTGGCTCACCTGTGGAATTTTTACCCATTAGTTATGGGGAAAACCTGACTGCTGGTACTTGAGGTGCTTGAGAAGCACAGAGTGTTCGGCTGGGCCCATGGAGGAAGGATGGCAGGAAAAAGGGAGGGAGAGGACAGTTTTGCTGGCTTCTCCAGCTTCAGAGAAGGACACTTTGCTGGGAGCTGTTGCTGCAGAGGGAAGGGAATTTGCCATCACCCAGACAGAGCTGATGCTTCTTCTTCTCCTTCTCCTTCTTCTTCATCTCTGGGCCTCTCACCCCCTGTCCTGCCGGGACGTGTGGCAGTGCCAGCCACCGCCGCGGAGCTGCTGATCCACCTCAGCCACCAGCCCAGGATCTCAGCTCATCCCTGCTGTTCCAGCTGAGTGTTCCTCAGAGCCCTGCAGGAGCACCGGGACTGACTGCCCGAGGGGTTTGTGAAGCAAAGCCTCTCCTCCATCCCTTCCCGTCTCGGCCGAGAAGGCTGTCCCGGGGTCCCTGGTTCTGTTTTGTTGTTAATGCTGTAGTTATTGTTGTTTGTGTGCCTTGTTATACACACTAGTAAAGAACTGTTATTCCTATCCCCAGATCTCTGCCTGAGAGACCCTTGATTTCAAAATTATAATAATTCGGAGGGAGGTCTACATTTTCATTCCAAGGGGGGCTCCTGCCTCCCTAGCAGACACCTGTCTTCCAAAACCAAGGGTTTATGTTTAGTTGCCCTTTCTCACCTCGCTCCCCTTCTTCAGTCACATCTTGCACTTTCTTATGGCATGTTAATATCAACAGTCCTTGTTTATTACCTCCAGTCCTCCAGTGACTCCACAGCCATCCAATTACCTATGTTTGAGACATACACATTAGCTCTCTTATGTTCTGGGAATAGAATGCTCAGAAAGACTTACTCTGGACTGCAGTTTATAGGGTTATTAAAGAGTGGGCTTCAGTATGCATTAGCCCCTTATAATTGAGAGCTCAAAGGCTCTTACTTTGGATTGCTGAGACCTTGCTGGATTTGGTCCCAAGAGACCTTCATAGGTCATTAGTCATTTTCCATCCTGGCCACAACTTGCGTTGGTTGAAGGTTCAACAACAAAAATAGGATTTCACTTGGGTTGTTACTCAGGCAAGAAAATTAGGTTTCCAAGTCTGTTAATTAAAAAACAGATGCTTGATAAACATCTGTTAGTTCCTTGCAACAGAATATATCCAATAAGCTCAAGAAGGGCTTAGCCCAGGTGCTGTTTGTGAAGGACAAAGTCTAACATGCGTTTCTCAGGTCTCGGTGGGGCCTGGGCGGTGGCAGGGGCATGCACCACCACAATCCAGTCCATGCCTAAACTTCTCTGGGCCTCTACAGGATGAAATAGGGCTGTGGCCATGGGGACAAGGCCAGGATCCCCGAAGTGAGGTGAGGCCCCACTAGTACGTCAGTACACGTTTGGGGGTTGCTGAGGATTCCCACCTAGCTGGCACTGCAAGGCAGGGTGGGGTGTCTGTGTGTGACACACGTGTCCCCTGACTCACTGTGGGCTTCCAGTACTCCGTATCCTGCCCGGGCCCCACACAACCCCCGTCATGTGTCCCCACCTCACACCGGCGCTCACCCTCGCGCTCCCGCCTGTGTCCCTGCACCTTCACGGGAGCGCGCCCCCTGCAGCCCCCCGTGTGTGCCGCACCCGTCATTCGCGCTCCGCCCGCCTGACGCCCCCGGCCCGCCCGTGCCCAATGGGCGGCAGCGGGGGGCGGGCGCTGCCGTTCGAATAAGGGCGGCCGCGGCACGGAGTTTGGCGGCTCCCCCTCCTACCATCAACGCGGCTGGAGCCCCGGCGACTCCGAGGACACTGAAGGCGGACACGATTCCCAGCCGCGGTCACGGTAGGGGGAGAGATGAGGCGGGGCGGGCCTCGGTGCTTCCCTCGGCGGGGGCTCAGGGCCGCAGAGCGGGGCTGTGCCACAGGCAGGCAACAGGCGAAACCCTCGGGCCGGCGGGGCACGCCTGTGGCACAGCCTCCGTCCGAGCCAAGTTCAGCGGTGTCCCCTTTCCCTAAGGACGGGGGCGGGGGGTGGTCCCGGCCGGAGCGCTGTGGTTCGGCCGTGTTGTTCTTCGTTTCCCGGCGCTTGGCGAAGCCGGAGCCTTCGGCAGCGGCGTTCGGCGGCCGCGTTACTCGAGGGTTCCTCTGCTGCCCCCAGCGCCGGTTTGAAAGAACCTTCTCCTTGTGCTTTTCCTGTGCCGTGCTCGGGGCAGCCCCATCCTGCGGCCCTGGGCCTCCTCAGGCAGCCCAGACGCTGCGGAGGTGACTTCCGAGGGTCTCCGGAACGGCAGCGAGGGGTGAACGTCCCTTCCTCGCCTCCCTGGTCTAGCTGGCGACCCGTAGGGTCCGGTTCCCGTTGAATCCGTGGCCGCGGGGTGTGTGCGGGTCGGGTGGAATTTTTCAGGGGTCAGCTGGGATGTGACTCCAGTCAGCCCAGAGGGAGACGCGACATTGGGGCCATTCTCTGCCGAGCCCCCGGCTTTTCCTCAGCTGCGCTGGGGCCGGGAGCGGGTCTGTGCCGGCCTCACCAGCTCCCCGTCACTCGGTACCTGGGCAGGGTGGCGGCAGTGAGCGCGTCCAGGTTCGGACGATTCCTCCCCTCCATGGCGAGGCGCCGGAGGTTTCTGGGCCGTGCGCCTTTAACGAGCGCGGCCCCGGCGCGGTGACGTGGGGTGGCCCAGGGCCAGGAAGGGGAACCGCCGCCTGCCAGCCCCGCCGAAGAGAAGCTCAACAACTTTTCTTTTGTGCGTGGCCGCTGGCTCCCCGGCCCTCCGCGGCTTGCCAGCGCTCATGGCCGATTAACCCCAGCGCGCCGACGACGGCCGCGCGGCCCCGGTAAGGCCCCAGCAAAGACTTTTCTGCCTCTTCCTTGTTTTGTTTTCCACGGGGCTGGCGCGGAGGAGGGGGAGGGAGGCGGGGGCTGCGAAGCTCAGCTCGCCCAGCTCCGCCGCCCCGTCCGGCTCCCGGCCCGGCGCCTCGCGAGCCCCCGGGGTGCGGGTCCCCGGGGCCGCGGGTGGCCGCGTCGGGCTCGCCAACATCCGGGCGCTCGGGTCGGCGGCTGCTCTCCCCCTCCGCCCCGCGCCAGCTGCGGGCCCGTCCGTGCGCGGGGGCTGCCGTGGGTCGCTCACCCCGCCCGGGTGTTTCCCGCAGCCGGACCCCTGGCCTGGGACAGCCCGGGGCCCGCGGGCGCGTCCCCCCGGCACGGTGGCGCGTCGGGAGCTCCGGAGCGCGGGCTTGCGTAACGCCGTGTTGTGACCGGAGCGGAGCAGGGGAAAGCGGGGAAGGACAATGCCGCCGCGGCCGCCGCCACCTCCGGGGCTCGTTCCCCGGTTCCCACCGCCCTCCTGCAGCTGCTCTCTTCGGGGACGCGGCTGGAAGGCGCTCACGGCCGCTGGCGGGCTCCCCAACCACTTCCCGCCTGCCATCACGAAAGGCACGTCCTCACGGCGGGTCATGGCGTTGTCTCAGATGCTCAGGGCCGCCAGTGTCACCAGGGACAAGCCAGGCTGTGACCGCGGCAGGAGCGGTAGCCCTGCCCGTCCAGATCTCACACCAGACCAGGCACCAGTGTGTTTGCAGACTGGTTCTGGTAAAACTCAGCTCGACGCTGGTGGAACGCGGTTTTCTCCGAGGGTCTGCATCCGGTGCTGCACGAGTGCTTTGCCTGGTGCCTTTGAGTGGATTTTTAGGGAGAGGTCCTGGCTGTGGCACCGGCTGGAGGGACAGTAGTTGCTAAGTGACCCAGCCATGGGAGCTGGGCTTTAGCCAGATTGGAGGGAGGACCTGTATTGCTGAGGATCCCGTGCTTCCCAGCTGGACTGACGGCCGTGGGAGCTCTGTAGTCTCCAAAGCCATCGTGACTGGTTGGTTGTGCTGTGCTGAGCAGCTGCAGATCCCGACCAGGTTCTTGACCTGTTGTGGTGTGGGTGTCCAGGTGCAATAGAAGGTGAGGAGCCCCCTCCTCATCAGGGTGACTTTTTGTCTCCCAGCAGTCCTCTCCCCTCCCCTGGAAGACTCCCAGGGTGGCACTGGGGGCAGCCAGTGTGGAGGCAAAGGTCGCTGGCAGTGATCCCAGATCTAGTCAGGGCAGCTCATCCCTGCTCCCACCCAATGCAGCGATGCCCGGTGAGCTCCCGTGCCCTCAGCAGGTGGTTCTTTCACTAGTAGCAGTGGGAAGGGGAGCTGGCGGC